TCGCGACAGCCACAACAGCAGTAACAGCTGCTTGAAACATAGCGGGATCAAACTGAGGGGGCGGTGGTGGTGGTGGAGTGTCGTTGTTCCTTCTGATAGGTCTTCTTCGGGGAGGCATCTTGTTCTAAAAAGAATCATGAAGAAGAGGATGGTAAGTCCTCTGAATCGAACCAAGAGATATGAAGCAAGAATATATATCTCATTACGATGGTTGGAATGTTCTACTAAGCGATAAGCAAGGAAGAGCTATCATTGCAGTTAAGTTATCGCTAAAGGAAATAAGTAGCAACACTAGGAATGAATTCCTGCAATGTATTCGGCTCTGACTAAAATACTCCTATAGTATTTTAAGTTGAATGGATACTAGGTAAGTTTTACGCCTGCTGCAACACCAAAATCACTCCCAAGCACATGTTGGTCATGTCTCGAATGAATATAGTTGACCAGGCTATATTAACCCTAGATATGATTACATAACTGCCCAGGTTTAACCGCAGTGTCCAACATCCAAAATACTTTTGTTTTGTTCTCCTCATGACACGGATTCTGGCACTCGGGTATACTTGTATACTTTTTGTAAAAATACTTATATTTTAAAAGTATACTTTTAGTTTAGAGCTCTTAGGCCCCTTAATGTTTATTGTTGTATACCATGTGAGGTTTGGTATACTTAGTTCACTATAAACAAAAGCTCTGATACCAATCTGTCACACCCCGAAACCGATGGCAGAAACGTTCCGGGGCAGAGCGACATTATGCGTAGTATCACAACAGTTGTTTCATAGTAAGCGAAGTAAACACAACCATTACATTATAATATGAATATTTACATTGTTCAGAAACAGGATTTATACATATCAGTATATAGCAAAAGTAAAAGACGTGACTCCAAAAATGCTCTGTCTTTTCCAAAAGTTGGCAGAAATACCTGTCTATGGTTGCCCTGAGAATACAAGCAGTTTTAGAAATATCAGCATAAAGCTGGTGAGTTCATAAGCATTTAATCTTTGGAAGAGAATGTTTCTTTGATCCTTTGAAAAGTGTTTCTCAAGAAAATCCTATATTTTCTTATGAAAAGCGGTTTTTGAAGGAGTGTCTATTAGTAGAAAATAAACCATCAGTTTTAGAAATATCGGTGTTACCTTGGGAAAATCCTATAATTTCCCTAGAGGCAGGTTATCCGTACTAGAGGTAGAGATATAGATTTTGAAAACCCACGATTACTATCAGTATATACATGAGAGTAGTTTTATTAATCAAAATAAAACAAGTGAAGAGTAGAGTCCGTAAACAGAGTTTGTTTATACTTATTTTGTGAGTCGTATAACCATACTTGATATGACCGAGAGACCTTTGTAACGTTCTTCAGGCGTTAAGCTAAATGACATTTGTTCACCCCAGGCGTGCCCGCCTAACTGTAGCTAGCAGTTCAGGTGTGGGATTGTCAGTTCCGAATAGATCTATTCACAAATCTCACGCTCTCCCTCCAGGAGACTCTGGTTATACTAAAAGGATTTATCACTATACACCTAAGGGTACAGTATTGAAGTAGCGCCTCACAATTCTGTATAATCTAGTTTACTAGCGAGAAATCCGTATAAAACAATAATTATCCTTGAATAAATGTTCTTTATACTTCTGAGAAAACATATAACATAAACTAAATCTGCCATAGTTTATATATATTCATTTATGAAATCTGATTAAGTAGAGACTGCCTAGAGAGTTATCCCCAACTATACCCGTTATAGTTTATTAGAATCGATATAAAGCTGCGTTGTAAAAACCTTTCTGAAAGATATGTAGTGAGATTTCCAAAATAATAATTTCCCTTATGCTCAACAGGTTACAAAAGGGATAAAATATCCGAGTAAGTTATTAAACATGGAAATCGTTGGGTTGTATTAATAAGTTTAGAACTTAATAAAATACTTTGAGTTTGGCTTGTATTCCCCCCCTGAAACATTAAAAACACGGAAAATGAAGGGGTATGAACTCACTGTTTGACGTAGGATCCGAAAGCACAATTGGTTACGAGTGTTGAGAGTCAACAGATGTTTCGCACGCGAGTGGATCCTATTAACATGTGATAACACATATGTGATTACACTTAGGGTATATAGCCACTATTAGACACATGGACACATCTTAGGGACATGAAAACACTTAGAATTAGGTGTTACAAACACCTATTGAAGTCCCCAAATGAGTGTAATGCTTTAGATTTGAGTGTAAGGCCACCAAACTCGACTTTTCTGTGAGTGCGACCAGGTGTGCGGCCAGGGTGTGCGGCCAGGCTATGTGTGCGGTTGCACACAGGAGTGTGCGGCCGTACAGAGGGTGTGTGCGGCCGTACACTCCTCATTTGTGTCCGAAATGTCGATTTTGAGGTGTTCTTGAGGTGTTCTTGTGCTAATACCAGGTTCTACTATTGAATGGAGGCTAAACTCTTCACTTTGGAGAGTTTTAGGGTGTGTGCAGCCACCTCATGAAGGTGTGCTGCCGTACACCTTCAAAGGATGAAGAACATGAAGAACACTATGAGTTTTAGGCTTAGATTCAGGTGTCTTACCAATATAACAAGCTGAATGATGGAGTGCTTCACGTTTTTGAGGCCCTTAGAGTGTTCTTGGATGATGTTTCTAGAGAGAGAAAGTAGAGAGAGGGAGTAGGGTGCAACCAAAAGAGGAAAAGAGTGAATAAAGGGGGGTCTCCTCCAATATATAGGGTCGGGTGTGAGGCTGGAGGGCGTGTGCGGTTGGGTGTGCGGCTGGCTGGCCGCACACGCGGGTGTGCGGCCGCACACACCTTCTTTGGTGTGTTTGGCCCGATTTTGTGATGTTGCACACTTTCTAACCCTTCCTAAGACTCATATCCATGTTATACTAAGCCTAAAACACTCATATAGACCCATAATTTCGTTATAAGATAGAAAAATGAAGGCTAACTTTGATAAAAAAAATGTACAAGTTAGAAATTTCGGGTTGTCACAAGTACGATATTCTTTTTCTTGTAAAGTAGTTTGTTTCTCAAAAGCACACGTGATGGATTGTCTTTGGTTCATCAAACTTTGACACTTTTGGACAGCAATAGTGTGTGGAGTTCCTTCTTTGTGTTTATCTATTCCTGATTTCCTATTCCAAGCTTTAAATCCGGATTTCACAAAATGATCTGATCCACCTTGATTTGGTATACTTGATTTGAATAGATAACAACACAAACAGAATGCATCATCCTCTTTTATACTATATTCTAACCAATATTTATTATCATCAAACCAAGATTGAATACATCTTCGAGGTTTACCTCCAAAATCACGTGGTGGAAACTTATGATTTAGAGGTTGGAAAGGCCCTTTTTGCAAGTATGCTCTTCTAATTTCATCTCTTTGGTTTACATGATAAAATTCTATACTTGGTCGTTCAAATGGATCAACAGGTAGTGCGTTTAAATCAACCTTCTTATACTTATGTTGTTGTTCACCATCTTCTTTCTTTTTATAAAACTTATGCAAAGACATTCTTGAATGTTGATGCTTTATTCTGAAATTGAATTATGAAATTGAATGTTATAAAAAGTATCAAACTAATAACCATTATCAATCTTTTGTTATCAAATAGAGTAATAGACAAATCACAAAATCAAGACAATAACAATATAACATAAAAATCAAGACAATTCATAATAGCAGTTGAACAAACAATGTTTTTATATCAAATAGACAATAACAACTCTGAAAATCTGAAATCTATTAACACTTAACATAAAGAATTCTCAAAACTGTTAACACTTAACAAAAACAAATTAAGAATTCTGAAATCTGATCAGTGATTCAGTGATAATGTGATATAAATCATGAAATCATACAAATATACAATTATTAATCAAATAAAGGGTTTTGATTTTGAACAACAAAAAGCAAAGAATTCTGAAATTGTAATGTAAGTTGTAACACTTGTAACTTGTAAGTTACAAACCTGAGAGTGTTGATCGATGGAGTGATGGCCGATCAAAAATTGCCGATAGGCTTCTACCACCGGACGGGAAGACGAGGACGACGACGATGACCTTGCCGGACGCCGGACGGCCGAGCACGCAGGGAGTCAGGGACGATGTCACGATGATGAATGTAGGGGTGTAAGTGAGACAAGCCAACTCGTGAGAAACTCGAGACCGAATCAGAAAATATTCGAAATCGACTCGACCTTAATCGAGCCGGGATCGAGCTCGAGCTACTCGAGTACCTTATCGAGCCGAGCTCGAGTACTAAAATACTCAGTCTGTAAGGCTCGCGAGCTTAGTCGAGCTTAGTGTAATTTACATATATGTCATTTCTTTATAATTGTTCATTTATAGCATATATGTCATTTCTTTATAATTATTCAATTATGACATATATGGTTGATGTTATATTGGTATTAGGTGATTAATAGTGTTTTTTTTGGTAGTTTGGACATTTGCATGTGGAATGATTAATATTTCTTACTCAATTTAGTGATTTCGATTTTTTTAAAAAATATTAGCCGAGCTGAGCCGAGCCGAGCCGAGCTCAAGACTGTCGAGTATTTCACGAGCCCGAGCTCGAGCTTAAAATCAAGGCTCGAGTCGAGTTCGAGCCGAGTTTCGAGCTCGAGTATTTTAGTCGAGCCGAGCTTCGAGCTTGGTAGTATTCGGATCGACTCGGCTCGTTTACACCCCTAGATGAATGATCGATTCCAATTTCCAAACCCAGGGAGTCTGCGTCTTTTTCGTTTCTTATTTCTATTTCTCTTTTTCTTTAAAAAAAAATAAAAAATAAAATAAAATAATAGATCAATTGATTGGGCTATAGCTTAATAGATTATGGGCAAAAGATATGGGCTTCTAATATAAAAAAAAGATACGGGCTCGGGGCTTCTGATGTCAAAGGTAGGTCTTTTATAAAAAATAAAATGGCTCCTTTTATATATATATATATATATATATATATATATATATATATATATATAAAAGGTCACCCTTACTACCTACGCCCCTGTACACACCACAAACTATGCTCTGATTGCCTACCTCCAAGAAAAAGCAGCCATGTTAGAAGCTGTTCAAACCAAACTGCAAGAACAGGCTATCATCACCCACTTCGAAAACACCATGCCAACTACATAAACATCATCAACGACCTCCCTGAAGACTTTCTTTCATGAACAACTCATCCTCCGTCTCTTTCAGCTAAATCCATACATGTAGATCATGTACTGTCTTTTTTGGTTCCATAAATGAACGCATCTCCTTTGACTTTGCTGTATCTATTTTTTCTGCAAACCACAAACAAAACAAAAATTAACAAACCCAAGTGACCCGTGGTTCACCGGGGCACACCCAGGCCCGACCCAATACATGGGCGAGTTGGGCTATGACCCAGGGCAGCAAAAATAGAGGGGCAAAGATCTGATCCAATAATTAATAGAGTTTGACTTTGGCCCAAGTTTAGTCCGATAAGTGATCCAATATTGGTTCAGTATCGCTACCTAATCCAAGCATCTTGAGAATAGCAACATATCACAATCGCCAAACGCCGGAAGATCATTTAGAAAAAAACACTCTGTAGAAATCGAGGAGTTTCTCTACGTATCTCTTAAGTCTTAAACCTACTGGAGGTATTTTCTATATCCAATAATCCATCCAAATTTTGAAATTCCGATCTGTGTTACTTAAATGTTGTCAATTTGTGCCTTTCATGGTGGTTAAGTCTGATAACCTTATTCTGACTTTGATTTTTTTTATTATAATGAAGCAAACATTTAAAATTAGAAGAAATTTTGAGGCTTTCGATTTCTTGATTGAGTGAGTTCGATTTCTGATATCTTTTTTCTCTTGTTCTGATTTTCTTTTTGTCGTCCCAATTTCCGATTTATTCAAACTGTATTCCGAGTTCGGTCTGTATTTTGTAGCAATCAAGCAAACACCAAAAATCTGAAGATTTGTGAGGTTATCGATTTTTGAATTCTTTTTTTCTTTAATCTAGTTTCCTTTTTCTCATTCCAATTTCTGATTTATGTTCACTATATTCTGAGTTCGATTTTTTTTCCTTTTCTGAAGTAAACAGCGAAAATCAGAAGATTTGTGAGGTTTTCGATTTTTGGATTGGATGAGTTTGATTTCTGGATTCTTATATCTCGTATTCTATATCCTTTATCTCATTTCAATTTCTGATTTATGTTTTGTGAAAACAAAAACATAAACTTTGGTTAAGTTGTGTATCTTTTTTTTGGTTAGTTGATGATAGAATTAAAAAAATGTTGTTTTAATCTTGAGTTCAATTTGAAAACCGGTGAAGAATATCGTATTAATGTAATAATTTTATTTTGTTGAGTTACAATTTGTAGAAAATGTGTTCCTGTATAAAAAGATACAAAGATGAAAGATGAAAGTCCTTTGGCATCTATTCAAATAATGGAGTGTGAAAGAAGAATGAATATTTTTCCTAATTTGTTGGTTCCATATAAGACTTTGTTGATGATACTGGTTATGGTTGCTTCCCTAAGTTTTTCAAAATTGAAGCTCTTGACATAGTATCTCCGAACTACCATGACTCAAGAAACATCGAACGGATTAGCCATTTTAAGCATTGAAAGTGATTTTTGCAAATTTTGCAAAATATTAATTATTGTAAAATAAGAGATGTTTTTGTTAAAAAAATGCAAAGAAGCATATTAGATGGTTTTTGTTTGTAAAATTTGCTTGATTATAAATTCTATTGTATTTTTGTTTTTATAATTTTGTATATATATAATAATTGAGTTGCAATCGTTTGATTGCAATATGACAAACCTATTTACATTATAGTCCTCTAGACTATTGAGGGTTACACACTTTAAATCATATCCTACAAACTAGACATCATATTCGATAGTGACATATAACCTATCGACATATGATACTTAATCTACTGACAATGACAAATACCAACAAATACAAATAATATACAAATTATAAAATACATCCTTCCACAACGAAAGGACACGTGTCTTCAATAATGTCTTAATACGTGATTGATTGTCTGGGTTTGATATGTTTATATGAATATATGGATATGTTTGGATAGGGTTTTGCTATTCAGAAATAGACGAGCTATTTCAACAGAAGAAGACTGAGATCAACTCAAATCTTAAACACTCAAATTTAGCTTGTTTATTTCATATGGACAAAGGCCCTATTTATAGGCTCAAAGGAGCCGAATACAATAATTGAGTTGCAATCGTTTGATTGCAATATGACAAACAGAGATGTTTTTGTTAAAAAAATGCAAAGAAGCATATTAGATGGTTTTTGTTTGTAAAATTTGCTTGATTATAAATTCTATTGTATTTTTGTTTTTATAATTTTATATATATATATATATATATATATATATATATATATATATATATATAAAATCTTATCTCGCCCGGATATCAAAAATCAATGGGCCCCTGGGCACACCACTTGATTTGCATTTAATCAAACAAAAAAAATGTACTAAAATTGACATATGGACAATATTTGACACTTAAACATATTTGCAGGGGCATTTTTTCATTCAATCCATTTCCTTTTTGAAGTCTCAGATTTCTCCCTTTCTGGATTCATGTATGCCGAATCACCTAATGGTTGTTTCTTGTACAACAAGCTCTTCTATATGCCAAGCTTCTATCGCTTTCTACACTCTTCAACAAGCTCTTCTATATTGTGAGCGACACCGCTACTCTCTATTCTGGTTTTCTTTGTAAGCATAAAAAATGGCATGGTACAGAAGGTCAAAACTAGGTTTTGATGTTATTTCCCGTTACTTCACCTCCAAATTAACCGCTCCCAAAAGCACAATCCAAAACGCAAGTTCTGTTATCAACCAGAGTAATCAATTGAGTAAGCTTACTTCTAGTGCAAATTACCCTCTTAGGGTTTCTAAATTTTCTCTGTTTCAACCCATAAGTGTTGATAGGAGCTTAAACTCTCGATTATATGCAACTGGTTATAGATATTACTATGTCGATTCACGACAAGTTAGGCATTTCAAGCCCCGCGGATTCAGAAGATGGTCTGATGACCCGAAGAACGTTTTGATAGTTGTGTTAGTTGGATCGGGAGTTGGGTTAACCGTATATTTTGGGAATGTTGAGACGATACCTTACACAAAACGGAGGCATCTTGTTTTGCTGTCGAAAAATTTGGAAAGAACGATCGGTGAGTCTCAGTTCAAGAATATGAAGGCTGGGTTCAAAGGAAAAATTCTACCGGCGATGCACCCAGAAAGCGTTAGGGTGAGATTAATTTCAAAGGACATTATCGAAGCATTGCAAAGAGGATTGAAGAAAGAGCAAGTATGGACTGATTTGAATTACGCTTCTGAGAGTGGAGCTGCATCGGAGAGTAGAGGGAAGGAGACTTTAATGGCGATGACAGAGGAGACTGGTGGAGGAGAGAATTGGCCAGCAAAAGATGAGGTTCTTGATGATATGTGGGTGGATCAAAGTCGGAAGAAGGGGAAAGAAAAGGGGGAAAAATCGGCTACTGGTCATTTGGAGGGGTTAAATTGGGAAGTTTTGGTGGTGAATGACCACGTTGTAAATGCTTTTTGTTTGCCTGGTGGAAAGATTGTTGTGTTTACAGGGTTATTAGAGCACTTCAGAACTGATGAAGAGATTGCTACCATCATTGGGCATGAGGTATACTTTTATTCACCTTTTCTTATGAATTAAATTCCTCCACATATGTATATACAGTTTGTTACAGAATGTATATGACTACTTTTTGTATTAAGAACTAATATGACTATCTATGTGGGCTCGTATTGATCATCATTTCTGTTTAATATTTGTTAAGAAGTGACTTGATAGGATGATAAGAAAAAAAAGATGGATTTCTCCCATTTCATGAAAATTTTCCCGTTTCTTTTCTTTTCTCGACATGATCTTGATCTAAGTTGCTCACTTGACCATTGTCATTGCAAATAAACTGATGATTTTGTCACTATCAAAGGGTTCTTTATACATTTATTTTATAAAATGTGTTGGTCTTTTTTCTAAACATTGATATGGTTGTAGGTTGCACATGCTGTAGCAAGACATGCAGCTGAACAGATTACAAAAAAAACCTCTGGTTCACAATTGGGCAGCTAATTTTGTATCAATTTGTCATGCCCGATCTTGTAAACACCATGTCAAATCTTTTGCTTAAGCTTCCTTTCTCCAGGAGGTATGTTTTAAATTTATGAGATTAGAGTTGTTTTTTTATCTTTACTTAATTGGCTTAATGAGTTAAGCACTTAATCTGGACAGCTATACATGACTGTTTCTTTTTGACTTAATGTGGACATAATGACTTGATGGGTTAAGCCAAAGAACCTGGCTTAACGTATCCAAACACTATTTTTTTTTTTACCTATTTGCCCAACTTTTTTTCTTTCAACTTGAATATTGTTAAAACTAATAAATATTGTGAAATTTGTTTTTTGGAATGTAAGGGTAAAATGGTCATTAGTCATGTCAAGTTAATTTGTTATCTGGAGGTAGAAATGTGTATTATTAGGTGTTGTTGATTGGATCTTTATATGTTGGATGTAGGATGGAGATCGAGGCTGATTACATAGGGTTGTTGTTAATGGCTTCAGCTGGGTATGACCCGCGGGTCGCACCAAAGGTATTTGAGAAGTTGGGTCAAGTTTCGGGTGATTCGGCATTGCGAGATTACCTTTCTACCCATCCATCTGGAAAGAGGAGAAGCAAATTGTTATCTGAGGCAAGTGTAATGCACGAAGCGGTTGCCATATATCGAGAGGCCATAGCAGGTAGAGAGGTTGATGGTTTTTTCCTATAGCTAATGGTATTCTATTCAAACCAAAAACCATCACTCGTAAATTTGTAATAACAGATGTTGTAATTGATAGAAAACTAATAGAAACAAGAATAAATGGGAGGCTACTTTTTTCCGTTTATTGTTGGAGGAAAAAACTCAATGAAATACGTAGTAGAGAAAAGAAAATGTTTACATAAATTATGTTTTAAAAGTTAAAACTTCGAGTAAATTACATTTTTGGTAGCTTAGTTGATTTTTTTGGGTTTTATTGCACAAAGGAATTGAGTTGCAGTTTTGGTTGTTTGAAGTTTCATTATGATTTTGGTTATTGTTCCAAGTAAAATGATTATATTGTCCTTTGCATGATATGTAATAAATGTATTGTTGACACTAAGCTTGCCTTTTTGGGGCTTTCAAGTTAAGGGAAACTCAACCTTGACCATAGTACTATATTGTCATGTCTCAACAATGAGAAACATGTTTCTAGTATGGTAGTGTTGCAAAAATCATACATAGCAAACGTGAAGTCAAGACTAATTTATGGAATGGTGGAGGAGAGACATAGGTAGTGTTGCACAAACCTGTTTTTTTTCTGAGCCGAACGGTTCAGAAAACCGATTCGGTTCCAGTCAACGAAGTCAAAACCGGTTCACCCTTGAACCGGTTCAGTTCCAAACCGGTCCACCCTATAAAAATCCCTAACTGATATAAACCGGTTCGGTTTTACCGGAACCGGATCACGACAAAATTTGCCGCATATAAGTTTTTTTTTTTTTCCCGGCTAATAAGTGTAAAATAATGGTTTGGACTAAAACTTATTGGTTTGTGGTTTACAAAAAAAAAATCAACTTTCCAGTAGTTTCTTGGGGGGAATAGAATTGAGAAGGCTAAATGCCTTATGCATTATACACACACGTCCATACATATGATGCGTCTTTCTTTCAATTTTTTTTTCTTTTTTTTTTTTCTTTTGTTTCTTGTTTATCAAAAGTAGACATAGTTTTGATTTTTTGATTTTTGATTTTTTTTTATTTTTATTTTTATTTATTTTTAATTTGATGTTTGTGTATATGTATGCACAAAATTGTTCGACTTGAGTGAACACATTTCTTTGGAGCAATTTTCAACTTTTTTTTTTTTTTTTTTTAAAATTTTTACATAATACAATTTCAAACATAAAAACAGAAAACATCCATATTGTCAAACTAATACATCTTCAAATAGTGCAATCCTCTCTCATATTCGAGCTCTTCTAGGGTGAGTGGCACCGACATTCTCATCACTACTTCTTCCTCAAGTACTTGTGGTTCGGCATGCAACGATGTGCCTTCTAGTACTTCAATGTCTTGTATCCGTTCCACGCCATCAAGGTAGCATTTCAAGCAAATGCATACTTCCACCGACAAAGGGGTAAGTTTTGTTCTTCTTGGTGATATAACCCTGCCACTAACAGAAAAAGCCGATTCCGAAGCTACCGTAGAAGCTTGAGAGCTTAGTAGATCACAGGCCATAGCGGCTAGAATCGGAAATTGGGTTTCCTTTCCTTTCCACCAAGCCAAAATATCAAAGTTTTCAAACTCTTGAACACTCATTTGTGACAAGAAATCGGAACCAATGTACCTTCCGAGCTCGCTACTAAGGGTGTTAGACCGAGCTTGTTTGGAATTTTCATTCCTCAAAATATTATAGAGCCGAATTGTTTCGTTATTTTGGTGAGAAGTGGATCCGGATGCCCCCGTATTTTCCATCATGTCATGAATGTTTGTTGAACCATATTTTGTTAAATAAACTTCAAATAAAATTTGGAAAACTTTGTTAAATTTTAAAACTTCATTTGATGCATAATCTATGTCATTATCCAATAAACCCTAACCGTAACAAATATTTTCAATTAAAGTCTCAACCCCCAACATTTAGAGCCGGATTCAAAGCGGCAGAACAAGTAATAACGGGAGACATTTCTTCAAAATATTGTTTTTAACTTTGCTTTCATCGGTTTCATCATATTAGCAAACATTGTGCTTCTCATTTCAAACTCATTTATTTCCCCCGATAAAAAAAGTAGTTGCTTTTTTAAAAACATCAAGCATGTCCGTAACAAGTTTGATAGTATCCCAACTTGATTCCGGATAAGCCGTAACCTTATTACGGTTCACAAGGTTGTCATGAAACATTTTTAAAGTATCTTTTTGACGTAAGGCACATTCAAAAATTTTGCAAGTGGAGTTCCATCGGGTATTATTTTCCCAATTCGGACCTAAAAAGAGGGCATTCGCATTGGCACAAAATTGCATATAATTATGATATCGAGCATTACTAGAACTATAAATATATCTTAGCATGTCTTTAAAACCATATTTTATAGTTTCAATGCTAGTTAGTCCATCTTGCACAACCAAACTACTGATATGTGCAACACATCGAGTATGAAAAAAAAACACCATCGCAAATTGGTTTATATTTTAGTTTTAGTCGTCCAACCGCGACGGTGTTGTTTGATGCATTATCAAAAGATATAGAAAAAACTTTTCCTTCAAGTTTATAAGTTTTGATCACACAATCTAAAATTTTAAATAAATTTCTACCGGTGTGCGGATACTTAAAGTATTCAAACGTAATCGTACGCTTCATCATTACCCAATTATTTGGATTAATCCAATGAGCGGTAACACAAAGGTACGCATCCGGTGAACCGTGAGGAGCCGTCCAAACATCCCAAGTTAAATTCACACCGGTTTCTAAAGATTGAAATCCTAAAACCATTTCATTTTTTGCAAGTTTCCACATTTCAATACAATCACGTCTAATAGAAATACGACTCACATGGCAATATCGTGGTTGGAGAGTATCTTAGATGAGTGAAGTCAATCATTTGTTGTCGAAGTGGTCAAAAGGCAATCATTCTTGAATCACGAACTTCGCCATTCTATCCCGAACTTTAGCCAAATCGTAACTCCACAATGTTGTATCATTCACCATTGTTGTTTGATTATGCCCCGACCCAAATTTCACCGCGGGGCATCTCTTGGTCATATGAGTTTTCAATGTCGAATTCTCATCTTCATTGAAAAAAGCACCATATTTCTTGCATCGTGCTTTTCTTGGACCGCTCGACATTACACACAAATCAAAATTGCCCCAAATAGCTGGATTTCTATTTGTTTCTTTGATGCTAACAACCGTAAGATTGTTTGATGAATCTCCAACACCAACGGAAGTCGAATCCATTGCTTGAATTAAGAGCGTTTTTTTGATCTAAAAGAGGTTTTTTGAGGTTTGGTTAACCCAATACATCTACTAGCTATTTATACTATCAAGTATTGGTGAATATGGCCAAAAGGGACCCAAAAACGAGATTGCAACAGCCATAAACGGCTATATAGCCGGTAAAATAGGACAAAAAAAACGGGCAGATTTTCCCTTTCTCGGAAAACCGGTTTGGTAAACCGGTTCGACGTAAACCGGTTCGAAACCGGTCCCAACGATTGGAATGGCGATCTGGCTCAAACTGGCGGTTTGGTTCATGAGGGGTTCAATTCATGGCTGAACTGGTTCATAGCTGAATCGGTTTTCGGATCGGAGGCCGGTTTGGTTCATGAACCGGTTTTTTTGCTCACGCCTAGACATATGTATGCAAAATGGAATGGTGGAGCAAAGACGGAAGGGTGTGAAGGAATTCAATCGGAAATGGAAAGGGAAAAGAGGAAATTAACTGATCTGATGGGCCAATTGATTATATAAGATGGATGGATCAGACGAATCGTATGAACTGGTAGGACGAACGGATGACTCATATTAATTTGATAAGTCAGATAGATGGATCAAACAATGAGATGGTTGGGCGTACAGATAGATGAACAAATGGATGATGAGTTAGATGGATAGTTAGGTGGGTGGATCAATAAGATGGATAGAATGAATGAATTAGAGGAATCATTTATTTTTCAATAGTGACCCTTTGATAACTTAGAAAACTAGTATAGGGTCTTGTTCGTTGTCTTCATCCGAACTTCAACTACTCTAGAATGATCTGTAGTAGTCTGAAATGCGAAGAACATTCCAATCTGGAATGTGCATAACAGTTTGGAACAAACTTCGAAATGATGTCCTAGCCAACCTTAATTTTGAAATTAACTAACTTGGATGGTTTGATATCCAACACGAAAGTCCATTTGATGCTTCTCTTACTATGCCGTGCAAACCTGCGATCGGTGCCGATATTCTTGGTAAGCTACAACACCGACCTGCGTGCGAGGCTTTTTTCCGGCAGTTGTGCTTTAGTTGGTGGCTTGATATTCCTGCTAGTGTGAAGGGGACCCTTTGCTAATGCATTACATGTTTTGCAAAGAAGTTGTTACAAACCCACAAATCAAAGTGATATCTTTTTTATGAACTTAAATTCCGGATAATTATACAGGAATTTCGTTTTTCTCTTTATAAACCCATGCTTTTTATTTCATACATTTTTCTCACAGAGTTGTCAAAAGTCATAATGTATAATCTCCTAGTTACGATCGACTATTTTTATCAAAAAAACGCTCGGATTTTTTCCATGTCTACCATCCACATTTTCTTGTCTTCAATGACTCGTATCCTGCATTTGTTGCCCTAATACCTTAGATTTCACATCCAGTTTTTTTTCGCGAAAGCATTTGGAATTAATTTTAACTAGTCGGAAGACATTTTCAATGAACGGCGTATTGACTTTTGCTGTGAACTATGTTGTGAATGACTTTTGGTGTGAATTATACTAGTATCTAAACGGTTTAAATAAATTATGAATATGAAGGTAGATGGAATATCTAATGAATTTAAGTATTAGGTAAGAAATCATAAATAGTTAGATAAGTCACGGTAAAGTGATATATTAAAGTTTGATAGTTCAATTTATTATAGTGATAGGTGGGTGATGTATAACTTTCAAAATTGATAAAATTGCATTTACACATTTAGTTTGGAAATGCTTAAATTTTGGCAACTGCTGAATGCCAACTTTAGAATCCTGTCTATAGTTCGGAATATAGTGTTCAAAAGTAATTGGTTATTTTATAAAAAAAGAAAAAATTGGTTATTTTGCCCAATATATTTAATAAAATGATATAACTTGTTAACAGATTTAACTATGGGAATGCCCTTTGTAATTTCATTAGTTCCTTTGATTTAATTCATTGATAGAACAATGATAGAAGCCCGCTGGTTTTTGAAATCAATCGCACGCTTATTAGACGACTGTAAGAACATTAGAGACCTTAAACAAATTCATTGCCAAATCATAACATCACAATACTTGTCCAAATCAGATCATCTCTTCCTCATTTCTCGTCTCATCTTCTTCTGCGCTGTTTCATCTTCCGGTTCTCTCAGTTACGCTACTCGTGTTTTTCGAGTCACCGATAACCCCAATCTATTTATCTACAACGCCATGATCAGATCATATTCTTGTGAATTCAGTAACAAAGACGAAAAACCACGCTCTTTAATTTGGTATAAGCAAATGTTGCAAAATTGCATTGTGCCAGATTGGATAACTATCCCCTTCCTCTTAAAGGAATGCATGGGCAGACTTGATTTTGTGGCGGGTCAAACCATTCATGCTCATTCTGTTAAGTTTGGGCTTGACGATGATGTGTATGTGCGGAATTCAGTGATTGGTTTTTATTCTGCCTGTGGGGTTTTAACATGTGCACGAAAGGTGTTCGATGAAATGTCTAACAGAGATACTGTATCTTGGAATTCAATTATTACTGGGTGTTTAAGAAACGGGGAGCTTGATACGGCAGTTGATCTGTTTACCAGGATGGATAAGAAAAATATTATCACTTGGAACTCTGTAATCACTGGAATGGTTCATGGAGGTAGACCTAAGGACGCCATTGATTTCTTTAACAAAATGCTTGTATTAACAGAGAAGGACATGGTTTACCCTGATAAGATCACTTTAGCCAGTGTTATTTCAGCTTGTGCATCATTAGGGTGGCTTGATCATGGCAAGAGTGTTCATAGTTACATGTTGAGAAATGGAATTGAGTGTGACATGATAACTAAAACAGCAATGGTGGACATGTATGGGAAATGTGGAAATGTTGATATGGCAATAAGGGTTTTCAAGAATATCCCCCAAAAAGATGTATTAGCTTGGACATCAATGATATCAGTGTATGCTCTTCATGGGTATGGCAATGAAGCTTTTAATCTTTTTGACAATATGGTTGCATGTGGGACAAGACCAAATCCAGTAACTTTTGGTGCTTTATTAACAGCATGTGCTCATTTAGGTTTAATAGATAAAGGTCGTTGGTATTTCAACATTATGAAAACTGTTTATTTGATTGCGCCAACAGTTCAACATTATGCTTGCATGGTTGATATTCTTGGTCGAGGTGGACTTTTTGAAGAGGCTGAAAGGTTAATTACTATTATGCCCATGGATCCAGATGTTTTTGTGTGGGGTGCATTACTTGGAGCTTGTCAAATGCATGGGAATATAGAGCTTGGAGAAAAGGTTGCCAAACATTTGATAAGTTTGGAGCCTTTAAATCATGCTTTTTATGTTGCATTATGTGATATGCATGCGAAATCTGGTAAATTTGATGAATTGGAGAATATTAGGGCTATTATGGATGTGAGAGGGCTTAAAAAGGATGTACCAGGTAACAGCATGATTGAAGTTGATGGCATTGTTTATGAGTTTTCAATAAAAGGATCATCTGAGGTCATGATGGAGGAGATTAAAAGTTTCTTATGTCAATTAAGTAAAGAGATGAAGGTAGATCAAATTAATTTCACCATTTGAGGTAAAATTATGAAAAATAGCAATGTACTTATGTTAATATAGATAATGTATTTATTATTCACCCATAAAAGCAGCATAATTACTTTTTTTTTATCCATAATAGCAACATACTTTCATTTTTTTTTAATGATAACAACAATAAGTAACTTGCAACTTATAATTTTTTTACCAGTGTTAAATTACATATTGTTGGTATTGATAAAAAAAAAGTACATTGCTATTATGGGTAAAAAAGTAAGCACGTCGCCGTTATGGATAAAAATTGTAAGTAAATTGCTATTATGGGTAAGATATAAAGTGCATTTTATAAATTTTATGTTACATATTGCTATTATCGTAAATATGTAAATATGCTACTATCATGAATAGAAAAATATAAGTATATGTTGCTAACATGGGTAAAGAGTAAAGTACATTGCCTATATTGTTAGGGAGATTAAATAATGTTATCATTTCCTGCAATTTGCTGAAAACTATTATGGTTATGTTTTAAGCACATAAAAAAAGTATAACTAGATTTTATTTTTTATTTTTTATTTTGAACGGCAAGAAAAAGAAAACAAAAAAACAACTTGCCAATGAAGATGATGTAAGGTCAACATCATCATATGGCATAGATAAACATCAACATCAACATCATCAATCATCATATCAATCTAGTTGTAAAGTTTTGGTCTACCGCTAAAGACAAATTCCTATTCTTAAAAGCTACATCTTTTCACTCTCAAAGGTAAAAAAAAAATGCAAACATTACTTTATGGACTTTTGTTTCTATAAAAAGTGCTTAAACAATCTAGATGATCGGCATTTTGATTATAATCCAAGGATAAAAAACAACTCGAAATAGAATTATAATAATTGAGAACTTAACGTCTCAACCCGGTCTACGTCTGAGGGTCCCACCGCCCACCGGTTCAGTTGATCACTACAATAAACCCATCATAATTACAAGTTTTACAGCAATTCATCCTTGACCACCTGCATTTAGCTTCCAAGATGAACACTCTGTTCATGGTTTCTAGTTCTACCATCTTCTTCTTCCTCCTTACAGGATTTTACTTTTCAACATTCTTCATGCTAACATGTATTGGATTCATGGTCCTGTTGGCGGTTGCACCCGTGGCTGTTGTATTTGTACCTTACTTCAAAGAACTCATGTCAAACGATCACCGGCCACCTGTTGTTGGATCGATTTTTAGTATGCTGATACACATCAACGACCTTTTCGATCATATCACCTCGATTGCAAAAATCCATCACACCTTCCGTTTTGTCAAACCAACACACAGTGAAGTCTATGTTGCTGATCCTATCAACGTCGAACACATTCTTAAAACTAACTTCCAGAACTACACCAAGGTAGTTTTCATTTTTCAGCAACGTTCATGGTAGAACTTCAACGGATTCGTAATCTTATTTGTGGTTGACTTTTAATTTCGTTTTGTCACATCAACATTGACAGGGGGATTACCACAAAGGGATAATGGGAGATCTTTTCGGGAAAGGGATATTTGCAGCAGATGGAGATGTATGGCGTCACCAGCGGAAGCTAGCAAGTCATGAATTCTCAACTAAAGTTCTCAGAGATTTCAGTACTGTTGTTTTCAGGTCTAACACTGCTAAATTGGTGAATAAGGTTTCGGAAGCAGCTGTCAATAAGGAGATTATTTCTTTACAGGTATTTGAAAAACGACGAGTATCGTGTTGATGAAATCTGCAACAAATTAACTCATAACTTCCTTTCTTTACAGGATCTGTTGATGAAATCAACTTTAGATTCGATATTCAAGGTCGGATTTGGATTTGATCTCGATACTTTATCAGGATTAGACGAGGTCAGTAATCAGTTCATGATCTCGTTTGACGATTCAAATCACATCATCTTCTGGCGATATGTCGATGTACTATGGAGGATAAAAAGGTATTTCAACATCGGATCTGAAGCTACTCTCAAGAAAAACATCAGAGTGATCGATAACTTCGTGTATGAATTGATTGAACACAAACGGGAGCAGATGAAAAACGGGAAACTCGATGTGCGTATCACCAGAAACGGCAGATTAATTTCCCCCTTATTAAATGTTTGATTTCGTATCCTTTTTTTTGAAAACAGGGAGATAAAGACGATATATTATCTAGATTTTTAATCGAAAGCGAGAAGAATCCTACAAAATTGAGTGATGAGTACTTGAGAGACATATCGCTAAGTTTCATCATCGCAGGGAAGGACACATCTGCAAACACACTCACCTGGTTCTTTTACATGCTCTGCAAACATTCTCAAATTCAGGAAAAAGTTGCCCTAGAAGTGAAAGAAGCCACTGGATCATCCGACTATACAAACTCCATTGATGAATTCTCCCTACAATTAACCGAATCCGCCCTTGACAAAATGCATTATCTTCACGCAGCTTTAACCGAGACTCTCAGACTCTATCCAGCTGTACCTCTGGTAAATCGCATTATACTTTTTGTGATTCTATCATATTTGTTCTGATTTTTGATATTGTTTATTCTTCAGGATGGAAAAAGTTCAGAGGAAGATGATGTTTTACCCGATGGGTTCAAAATAAAGAAAGGAGATGGTGTAAGTTACATGGCGTATCCAATGGGAAGAATGACATACATTTGGGGAGAAGATGCAGAGGAATTCCGGCCAGAAAGATGGCTCCACGATGGCGTTTTTCAGCCTGAAAGTCCATTCAAGTTTACTGCATTTCAAGTAAGTAAAAGAAAATTAATATCTTTGACTTGATATACAATTAATTATATAATTTCAGTTTGTTTCAACTAGTGATTAAATGCATATATATGTTTAGGGTGGGCCAAGGATGTGCTTAGGGAAGGAATTTGCATATAGACAGATGAAAATAATGGCAGCTTTTCTTGTGTTCTTTTTCAAGTTTCGATTGGTGGATGAGAGTAGGGAAGCTACATATAGAACCATGTTTACCCTTCATATGGACAAAGGGCTCCATTTATATGCATTCCCTCGTTCAAAAGAGCCAAATACTAAATTTGTTAATTAGGGGTTAATACCTTTGTAATATACTAGTAGTAATTTACGTGATGTAAGTAGTCTCAACAAGTAATTTACGTGATGTAAGTAGTCTCAACAAGTAACAATTGGGTATCTTCGATCATGTCAATGGTTTGGGCAAAAGGGTCTTTTTCCAAAGTTTGTGGATTTGGTAATTAGTTTGTTAGCATCTATGTTATATGCTTTGCTATGTTTCCAGATTTAGTAAAAGAAAAAAAAAGGGAAGGGAAATAAGGAGACAAAATAAAAGAAGAGTGTAAAGCAAAATATTATATTACTTGTTTCCAAATTCAAAAGAAATGAGAGGATTGAAGTTGTTGAAGAAAATCATGATTATAGAAGCTACGTAATCTTTTTTATATTAGATTGATGGGTAAAAATCGGTAAATGACAAATCTTTATATTCTTATTGAATTGTTTTATCTCTAAATCCTTCCACTTTTGATTGGAAAGTTACAAGGGAAAGCTTATAAATAATTACAATTTCTCTTCATACAACTTCCTTTCATTAAAAAAAAAAAACTAGAGAACATGATTTTTTTCCCCTTTCTTTCCACGGTCCTTCAATTTTTCTCTTTAAAAAAGACTCGGGAACACAAATGCAACCTAACATGCAAACCCTTCAACAAGCATTATGTGATACTATTCTTTTTTACCTAGTAACGTCTCAAATTTTCATTTAAAGCTCAAGTAAAACATCCAAAACTATTTGTCATAAAAACCTAAGTATCCAATTGTTTCAAAACCATAAATTCAAGTCATAAACTGTATCATAATAATAAAAATAGCGGCAATCAAAGACATAAATCAACAATGATGCACATGCGATACATTCAAACCAGGCTTTTCCCTCTAACATCAGAATTATCTGAAAACATTAAATCAACAACTGTAAGTATAAAACTTAGCGAGTTCCCTAAAATACCACATACCATAATACATACAATCAATGACTCGCGAATCTCGTGTCGTTATGTCAACAACATACAACGAGGAGTCACGACTCTTGTTTCGTTCCGTCATCAACAAGGACTCATGGATCATGTTTCGTTCTGTCAACAACAGGACTCACAACTCTCGTACTGTTCCTGAAGGATTGAGAATTAAATAGTTAATATCAAACAATGTAAAGAACATGAATATAGTTAATCAAAAACCAATTTCGATTAAGAAAATCTCTTACAAAGAGAGAGTGCACAGAGCGTTAATTTACATCATACCCTAGTGTAACTTATATACTAGGTTGACGACTATTCTAGATTCAAATCCCTACATATCAAGGATTTAAATAACTATGATAGCTACAAGATTTAAGTAACAAGAAACATCACGCTATTTCCGAAGCTTGATCAACGTCACAATATGTTGACGCTGTCAGCGTGATAAATGTTTGACTCATCAGACTATAATGTTTGACCTTACAATCTCCCCCAATCAGATGATGTCAAAACCTATTCCATAATATCTTAAAAAAGAACCTTTTTCAGCATCTGAAATGATATATGGTTTAATCCACTTGTAATCATTACAAGCTAATTCATCTCTTCTTTTGTCTAGCTTATAAGAGATAATCCAATGATAACAATCAGCTTCAGGTTTTCCTTTGCATCCCAGTCTTAGATGAAAATGATGTTCAGTAGGAGCTTTGTGAAGATCAATAGACCATTAGACGCATATATGATCATTATTATCAATGTAGAACAATCCATGTTCAGGTTCTTTTATGAAAAGATGTTGAATGCACTCAACATTTACTGGAAGGGAATTGTTGATGTAGGTAGTCCCATAGGGGAGTAATAACCTTGAATGTTGGGACCTTCTTCCAGATCTAGCAGAGAATGAAGCAATGGGCATAGAGGATGCATCAGGTAGGGGAGCAAGATTAAGGTTCCTGATTTTGTTGATCATTAAGATGATAGCCAACTTCAATTCTTGTGCATGAATGCCCTTATGACTATTGATGATCGCTTAAATTTCTAACCATTCATTGTATCCATATCTAACAAGATTAGATACATGAATCTTTTTAAGGTATTCTCCTTTAGAATCTCTTCCGATTAGGTGTACAGTAAGAATTCTTTCTCCTTTGGGTTTTGAGCACCTAACTTTCACAATAGGATTTAAAGAGAATATTCTATTAAGAACATCATCACACTTGGAACGATCAATCATTGTGAGAATATCTTCAACCTTCTTTTTCTTTTCAACCTCAACATCAAAATGTTTGATTACAACCATATTATCAGCGAATGAGTTATCAAAAGAAGTAATTTTTGGAGTTGATTTTCTGAGAAGAATGTTATCATGTGTAGCAACATTATGCTTAGCAGTAATAACTCTAACATCTTCTTTAGACACTCCCATTTCAGCATAAACTTTAGAGACCTTTGTAACCTTGCGCTTTTTAGATAAAGGCTGATTATTATTTGATTCAATGTCACTGTTGACATGTTGCTCCCCCTGAGGCCGAGACTCCCCCTCAGCCTGATATTCTGATGGGAAAACCACAACAAGAGAAATGACAGCGTGAAGATAATTACCAAGAAAGCCAGGTTCTAGAAATCCTTCTTCATCTTGATCAAGAGATGCAGAAGCTTAACCATCATACTCTGTAGATACATAAGCAACTTGTAGGTCAGATATGGATGATTTTGAACTTTCCCTATTTTTGACATTATCAGTTGTACAACCAGTAGTAGCAGGAGGAGATGACGAAGGAGTAGGATCCTTTGTAGAATTGTCTGAAAGATCTAGTATGCTCAAGAATCATATTAAAGTGATATTGCTAATTAACATATGATCCTAAGGGTCACACTAACAACAACTTAATATAATTGATTATTTAGAAACTGATTTTAATAAATATTCAACAAACTCTTATAATTAATTGGAAATTATTTATTTCGTGGAAATATAAATTTTCATTAGCAAGTAACATAATATATCATATGCTATGATTTATAAGTTATGCACAATATTTTGGAATAGATAAACTCTTTTGTCTTTTACCAAAAAGTTAAGATTTATATTTTATAAAAAAAATTATAAAATTTACAAACCTTTGACTTCCTTTTATATATTAAAACCATAGCTTGCCTTTTACTAGACAAAGGATGATGTTTTGATTATTTTTAAGGAAAGTAAATCATGGATTGCATGCATGGGGAACAAGATGGTCTAGTGTCATAAAGTGCTTAATGGGATAAGGAATCTTGGATATTGATTCAAGTTTAAGACCACTTTAGAGGCTTTCATTTTCACTAAATGTTTTAGAGAGCAGAATTCGAATCCTCTTCCCTCTCTCTCATTCTCTATAGTTTTGGTTAAACACTTGGACAATACTTGCTTTCACATGCTCTTTTTAAGTCATATTTTGATATGCACTTAAATCTTTAAGAGATTATGAATTCTACATAAGACTAGCATCTTAAATCAAGTTGAGTTTTTGTTGGTGTCTCAAAGATTCCACATTCTCCATTAACTTCCAAGGCTCCCTTAGAGGATCCAAAGTCTACAAAGGTTGTTAAACTCTTCTTATTCTTTGGTGCTTGTTTTCTTTCCAAACTTTGCAAGAAGATCCATGGTTGGTTTATAAACTTGTTTTATGTTGTTCAAAATCAAAGTCTTACATTTCTAAATCTTATGTTTTTGAAATTAATTTTTTTAATAAAAAACCCAACATTGTCATGAGAAAGGGGATGTGATGGAGTAGTGGATCCATCATTTGGAGGTTGTGAACCATGTGATGGTGATGGATGTAGTGGAGGCGATACATTTGTTGGAGTAGTTGAGGAGGATAGAAAAATAACTTGCTTGATAGAGACAACATTGTTGGGTTTTATGTACTCTAACATTCTTATGGTGCACATACAACCCTAATGCTTTGGATCTAAGTTTTCTCTAATTATACATGCAACATTGGTTTCCAAAGCATGAAGCCTAAACTAGCATACAAAACTTAACATATGAATCATAAAATAAGTTAGAAAGTTACCTCTTGATGTAGCTAGTAAGACTTTGGCCTTGAGAGAACCTAGCACCCCAAGTGTTGTGCCTCAAACAAGTCACAAACACCAAATAAACAACTAGATGGATATGAGAGAGGCTAAGGAGACTAAAAACCGATTTCTCCTCTTGGAATGCAAGCAGTGGTCGATTTTAGGGCTTAGCACAACATATATATATATATATATATATATATATATATATATATATATATATATATATATATATATATATGTGTGTGTGTGTGTGTGTGGGTGTGTGTAGAATATCAAAGGTCATGCGTAACCCTAATCCATACACATTAGCCCGTGATCCATCCATTTGATTTGGATAAATACTTCATGGATTAACCCATAAGCCGATCACAAATCAAACCATGGATCATTAGCCCAACTCATATGCATCATTTAATTAGTCTCTTTTGATCACTAAATTAATTCTTGATCAATACTAATTAAATAATATGATTCCTCAACTAATATATCATACTTATAATATATTAATAAATCATAAATAACCTCTTACTCAAATATCCATCTATCAAATTGTTCTGGTGAAGGCAACCCGAAATGGACCATGCTACTATCGGGTCAAGTACATACCAATTATAGTTATGGGCTTAGACACCTAATCCAACAGTCTCCCACTTGGATAAGTCTAATAACTATAATTGCCAATGCAACTTCAAATCCGATTAGTAATCATAGCTCTCAAAAAGCCGCTGTCATACTCTGATGCGTCCATTAGATAAGTGATCATACAATCCTCTGTTCTACAAGATATCATGCGGACAAATACATGGAACATAGTCATACTTATTGTCTTGTAGTTTGTTTCCTGATTTCTGATTTGTCTGACATAGAACATAATTAAACACATCAATTTAGTTCTGACCGGGCCCGACACATAAATAAAAAACAAAATCATCGAGGGGCCCACGATATTGCTTTTAATCCTCTTAGGATAAAAGGAACAGATAAACTTCGACTTATATGCTTGTACTAACTATTCGTTGAATCATACACAACAACACGTTTTATAACATCGAGTTACCGATGCGTTTTCGTACTATCAATGTACAACCAACGAATAATCGCCAACTCATACATCTTGGTTTAAAGAT